TGCGCAGAATTGAAACTCGTGTATTTCAGTTGAATGCTACGACAGGAAAGCAATCAATGCAAATCTGACCGCTCAATTACATGTAACCAGAGCATATAGATGATCCTAATGTGCAGTGGACTAAGACAGACAACAATACCTTAAAGTTTGTATTATGAAACTGACCATTGTTTGTAGTAGAGCACAACTGGGTCACATACGAGTGTCTCCGGTAGCGAGCAGACACCGACATTTGATGCACATGACAGTAATGAGGACAGGTCAGTTGATTCACCTGTTGCTTCACTGACTTCACATTACTTCACTGACTTCCTAAATTCAACAGTAAGTAGATACAGTACATGTACATGAAACATTCACTACTAAATTAAATAATTCCTCTCTGCCTCTTCAAGTAGCAGAACAACTTTAATGTGAGCATGAATGCATGGGCAGAACTGCTAATATCTTATAAAGTGTTGAAAATTAGAAGAATCATTCATGCCTTTGCATGTTGAAAGAAGCACACAGATTATGATTGATTTATGTGGATATCAAACATAGTCAGAAAGGGGTAAATCCTTACCAGGCCTGAGCATGTAAGTAAAGTCTTAGGGTATAAGTATGTGCAGATTAGTCCAGCATCTATGCGATTTGAAGAAGGCAACAAGGTTAAGCAGGTTAAGCATAATATAGAAATGCTTCCACGTTGTTTGTATGTCTGATGGTTGATAAGGTACAGCTCACAACAATCTATTAACCTAATCAATTATTTGCTAGCTGTAATATCAACAACAAAAACGAGCTATGACCTACGGGAGAGTGGATGGAGTTGGTTGACACGACAGACAACATCACCTTCACCCACACCTGAAATGAATTCACTGGTAGTGGTTGTTCATACATGTGAACGAGGCAGTAATTAATTGTTTTGTTAATTGATTTCTCGGTAGCCAACAATCTAGGTATGGTGAACACTTGTATGCCTGACAAGACTCTGGATAACACACTGCTGAAATAAGGTAAGTGAACTACATCAAGCTGGCATGATGTAATATATCTATGATCTTGTGAATAGAATACGTCGTTCTGATTGGGTGAGTGTGTTATTAATTAAGCAGGCTGTGGTTAGCAATAGATTTTTAGGGTCTGTAGGTTAACACATAGCCCACCATCACATTTTTTAAAATTCATTTTGGCTATCCGTAGCTGCTTTTAGACAGCGGTGTGTCTTGAATAGATGTTTTTTCATGCTTAGAAGTAGGCCCCAAATTTTAATAACACACAGTAAGGGGTATGGAGCTATTTAGCATCCATTTTTTTATATTCAAAATTAGAAAAATAATTTAAGGGAAAGATTTCACACATGATTATAATACAATAAAAACTTCAAATTCATTGATCTACACCATTACTACCGAGGTAGCTATAATTTGTACGTATTTTGGTATAAACAAAACTATTGACTCCAAAACCAGATTGATGATGACAGATATTTCTTTAGTTTGTGCTGTGTATGTGTTTGCACACTACACAGAGCGACATCAGATCTGTGCTTGGTTACATTTTTTTACAATTGAAATAGAATGGAATAGTTTATGGGCAACACACACACAATCAAACAATAGTAAGAATGTGCAATGTGTGCATACCACTGACCCAAAACTAAATTTGAAAAAGCAAAAGTTTTGATTCAGAGAAACGCCCACAACAACTTGCGTGGCAATTATTATATCAATTATATTTCAATTCTATACATGTAGATTTCAATCCTGTCACTAAGAAATAACTATTATTTGAAGTTCACAAAACCATAAATCAGAATGTGATAGCAAAAGGTGTATATAAAGAGACGGATTTGAAGTAGACCACCTCTTGGCACGCTTGGTAGGCTTTCATGCATAACTGATAATAGTACTTGTGTATTTATAACCTGTTACCAGCCCTAATATTCAGCCCTAAGCAGAATCACCAAAGAACATTAATTACGGGTAAGTTGTTTTAGTTCTAAAAAAATTAAACAAATGAGAGCTTTAGAAAATATAAAAATTGAGATATTTTGAGATATTAAGACAGGGTATATCATATATCATATGGCAGGCCTTATTACAATAAAATTCAAAATTATAAATCACCTTTAGTAGGCCTGAATTTATAATATACTTCCGCGTGGAATGCCATGAAACAGCAAATAGCAATTCAGCAGTAAGTTATTGAACATTACCTACATGTACCATATTTAGTCTACGGGAAATAAAAGTGCACAAGATTTGCGTTTATTGTATGTTGCAACTTATTTCGATCATAGACACGAGTGCAAGCACAACTTATATAGCAAATACTGTATATTTATTCAGTTAGAAGGCCATTTATATATGGGAGAAACCATTTGAAAAGATAGGGACGGTTGATTAGATGTTTCAGTGAATAGGGAAAAAAAACAGAAGTTGTATTGCGAGTAATATTTTTGTCAGTATATATTTGAGATTATTTTATCATCGTTTGAGACGCAATAACCCTACAGTGCAGGCCCTGACTCAAATTACACAAAGTGTGAACCACTTAACTTTAAGTGTGATAAAGCTGCTAAAGCAAACAATTGCACTTTATTTTCAACATTCAGGGAAATTTGTTTTCCTGCAGAAAAGAAACCATATAAAATCAGAGCTGTGGAAGTGACAGTGGTAGCACTACATTTCAGATGAGAGACTATGTGTAAATGTCCACAATACCATCACAGCATGATAATATTATATTTTTAGGCACTGGCTTGAAAACTTGATGAAGTTTACACCAATTCCCCAACCAGACACACACATAGTAACAACTGCCTAATTAGGCCCCCCTGGAGGAGGATTAGATGGATGGAATAATTAGCAGATGAATTTCAGAATCATATTTTAAACAATAACATAATGACTTGGACTGGTTTATTTTGTTTTAGTTCATAATACAATGAAATCCAACTTTGTGAAATACAAACGAGAATTATTATATCTCATGGGATTATAACAAAAATGTTAAGCAATAAATTCCAGTACAATGTACTGTATATTTCTTATTCCTGAATGCATACAACAACACAAAGCAGCATTGGTTGTTGGTAATTATTAACTCAACAATAATTACAGATTACATATTAATCCTCTATTTTGAACACAAGGTAGAAAGACAATATACATTTACCATAATTATATGCATCTTACTATCTACTGTGTTTCATCAGATGGGGTGGGTTTCAAACTTACTAGTCAAACAGTTTTTCTCCTTCAGGGAACAGTAGAGATAAAAAAATTAGGCCGCTAGCGGCTTGTGTAATTGGTTTAACCCTAAGTTCAGTCAGATCTGTAGATGGGACATTAAATAGGAATCCGCATGTTAAAAATAAGTTCCAAAATTTCATTTTTATTTTTTAACGCTTACCACCCCTAGGGATATTTTTAATAACCACACATAAAAAAAACAAGAAATACAGCAATGTGATTGGACTAAAAAAAAAATCAATCGTTTTTATTGAACTATTTTTGTTTTTTTGTTTAATTACATAGACAAGTGTTAAACCTTGTAAAATATTAGCCGACTCTGTTATTTCAATCATGAATATTCATCAAATTTAATCATCCAAGGCAGTTATTTCAGCTTATTTCAATTAAATTAAAAATTCATGTCAAATAAATGTTTAAAATGCTGAAAACAGTGAATTATAATAAAAAAAATAATAAAATAAAAAGGACACATACATTGATGGAAAAAAAAACAAGGCTGACAGACTTCAAGAGATGAGGAAAATATGGATGCCTAAATCTAATTTCATTTTGAAATGCTAAAGGTGATTTGCTAGAGAAGAGGAAAGTGAAATGAACCACTGCTTCTGCTTGCAAACAATGATCTCATTACATACATTATGCTAATTACACGATGGATTAATATGCAGTCTATCTCTGACCTGTGTATGCAGAAGATAGGAAATTCACCGATTTAAGAAATTCATAAAATATATAATGCTATTTGCATGTGTTACACTGCCTCTTTCCGTTACAGTTGAAGTGATATCCTATATACATCATTATATCCGCTATTCACGTATATGATAACCTGGCAAGTCTCCCTATGACTGTCCAGATCAAATTTCATAACCCATTCCTGACATTGTAACCAGCGCTCCCTCTCACCTCCGTCGACGAAAACAACAAACTGCACGACAAGAGAGGTAGTGCCACGCAATGTGGGTCAAACAATGTCAGTGTTAATAACTACGCGTCTGGCTTCAAATGAGAGTAAAAAATACAATAACAGTGATTCTACACCGCCGACGGCGTAGTACACAAAACTGGTGTACGCCGAATAACGTCGCGACCTCCACTGTTTGCTTAGACTCCAATACTATACACAGTAGTATGCACATGTCAGCGACAGCGACGCCGATTAAGAAAGCAAATTCACATTTCCAAAAACCCCGTTTACAAACGATAAAAACAAATGCAACATAAAACATATATTATGTTGAGAGACGGGCAAACGCGAGATACATTTTCATGAAGTCTCGGGAAGCATCGATCTTTCCCAATGGACTTGCTAATGAAGCCACACAGCGTCATCTAAACCCAACGAACCTGTCAAAAAGACACGGCATATTTGTGTTGCCAATTTGACACGAGTGTTGTGCAACGATATAATCCTTGAACTGTCGTAAACGTACGTATAACCATTCACCGATTAAGAATAGGGACGTGCTCAGCAAAGAAGTATGTATACAAGCCCAACAATCAGACGGTAATTTCGAAGTACGATTGACTATCTCATTGGCTCGCTCGCTGCAGTGTGTGATGACAAGCCAGTCACTGCATGACGGGACAAAGAACGCCTTTCACATACCAGTCATGTGGAGGCTCAAATGGCCATCCACGGTCTAATATAACACTAATTCAGCCGTAGCACCCTTCTTGGGGAACTGATCTCACTTCTAGCTCGCAAAGTTACCAATCGTTCCTGTCAAAGAGGCATAAAAAGCATGTACTCACCTCACAGCTACAGGCGATAGCTAGAAATCACAGCAGCTTGTACGGCCATATTGGATTCGATATCCCAACAAGCTTTGCGTCATCGATAACCTTTGACCCCAGAATAATGCTAAAAGCGCGCTTCTTTCTGGTGCAGAGAATATTTTTACCGGTTCATTGTGAGTCGATTTTTACATATTAATAAATGTAAATATATTCATTGCATACTTAAAAAAATGAATATCAATATATTCCGCAATATTAAATCATATGCAATCCATATTCTTAAATAACCTTCGACAACTTGCAGTACTTTGTGTGCAACTTGCGGTGCCTGTCGGAGCGGGAGATCTGAAGTCACGTTTTGTTCCCGGTTTTGTTGCCGAATTATTTTTTTTAAATACATATAAATTTTACAACAATATTGTATACATTCTCACTACTAAATAGTGGGACACTTATTGCGCTACACAAGACCACAAAAGCTACTTTCAGTATTAAATAAACAAACTACTGTATCCCGTTGGCTCAAGTTCCAACAACAAGATGTACACGTTCGAACACGCCAATGAGATTTCTTATTGCATGCACATACTTCAGGGTCATTGTTTACTTTCTTTATCCAGTTGTTTGTGTGTTTGTTTATTCAATTTAATTTACAACAAAAACAAACGATATTGTTTTGATTACATAATACTGTGAAATACTTTATTTTCGCTTGGAATTAACTTTCACTATTTTCGCTGAAGGAATGATTCAGTGAAAATAAAATCCAGCGAATATACTTCTTTTCTATATTTTACATTCAACTCATCAAAAATTAGTGAAAATAAATTCCATTAAATTAATTATAGCTAAAATAATTTATTTTACAGTAGTTACTTCCGTTTTCAGTAACCGTGATTAGATATACCACAGTCCCACAGTGATAGAGGGACTGTGAAAGAGGGACTGTGGATATACTGACCGTTTTATTCTCAATCGCTCAGATACGCAATCACGACACTTTCTAAAGTTTGTCCTGTAGACTTCTGATATAAATCGATTACTGTGAAATACTTTATTTTCGCTTGGAATTAATTTTAGCTATTTTCGCTGAAGGAGTGATTCAGTGAAAATAAAATCCAGCGAATATACCTTTTTCCTATATTTCACATTCAACTCGTCATAAATCAGTGAAAACAAATTCCATACAAAACACCCCAAAACACTTTTAAGCGAAAATTAATTCCAGCTAAAATAAAGTATTTCATAGTACTAGAATATGATCTCGCAAACACATTGGGTTGGTGGGGGGGGGCATACGACTTGATCTAAACTTCAAAAATTGACCCATTTTTGGTTCACAAAGTCGTTTAGCTCGTAAAGACATAATATAAACTAACAATTTGTTTCGCTGAAAACACTGTATAAATATATCGGGTAATCGCGTGGTGGTCCGTGTCGAACGACGCACGAATGGTCAAAGTATGTAAACTACTATTGCGATTAGACTCCAGGAAACGCAAAACATTGTGTTAAAGGTTTGACGAACTTATTTAAAACGGGTCTGGTGGCAATGAGCTACAGCAATCAAAACCATGACCGAGCTATATAAACCTGAAGTTCATATCATTGTGAATATCTCCAAATTTACATATGCATACATAGACGAGAACCCTTAGTTAATTAAACCATTGTGTACCCGTGAATCAACTCAAGTCCATGACAATGAAAAGCACCCTAAGAACAAGGTACATCAGCGGATCCCAATACTTTAATCGGCCAAGAGTTATCCGATATTTTATTGCCATTTATAAACACATTATTGAATGCTATATTTAATTCAGGTACATTCTCAGTGGCTGAGCGCTTGGTGTATCCTTAGACTAGTAATACTAGTAATACTAGTACTAGTCTAAGGTATATCCAAACATTATGGTGCGATCGCAAACTTTTATAATTCTAAATAACTGCCTAAACATCGGCAATACTATTTAAAATTATCCCAAAATGCCAAGCTGGTACCCAGGAATGATATTCACGTACAGGTCATAGTACTTTTAGCTCGTAGATTTTCAAAAGGATTTTGATTCAGTGTAGTGGAAATGTCACATGTACATATTGGAATTAGATGGTCTGACGGGAAAGCTGTTCTTAGATAGTCAATCCAAATGAATACATAAATTCCGTATTAGGAAAGGAAGGGATAAATCTCAGTATATTGCTCTCTGGTTATTGCTTCAAAAGAAACCAAGCAAAGTTGTATGTTCAGCCCTGCGTCCTGCTCAGCTTTGATTATAAACAATTTGGTATACTATAAGGCACACAATTCTAGTTTTCGGGAAATACAGATATTCCAAGTAAGATGGTTATTATTGTTGACAATAACATATTGATTCGCCCTAAGACCTGGAATTGTTTATATGCTATTACAAATTCACTATGAAATAAAAGGCAAAAGAAAAACATTTTCATAATTTTATATTGGCATACTTAACAATTTTGATTACTGATACAAAACACTGGAGCGCAGGAACGTCTATTTTGTAAAATTTTGAAACCATGTTATTACTGGTTCCTGGGACATCTTATATTAAAATGTGTGCGTGGTGATATAATATATACTTTTCTTTCCTTGAATTATTGTTATAATCTAGATTTTAGAATATTAGGCACAATTTTTATAAAATGTAGTTTTGTAATAAACAACAGATGGGGTTTACTGGTGACTAATGCCGTAATGACAGTTATATACCAATTTAAATATTAAATACTAGTACTACCAATCAATTGTATTAATATATTGTCATTGTCAGCATTTAGTTTGAATTTATACAAGGTGGAAGAAAGTCACTGCGCAACTGGGAGTGTAATCGTTCGCCGCTTCTAATTTGAAAAACAGATAAACAGATACAAACCAGTATCGAACGCTTCTTGTTGATTCGCCATCTTACCATAATCAATGTGAAAATTTCAGCGATAGAAAGTGCATGTACGTACTGTGATCATGCCGAGAACAGTGGATTAATTTTCAACATTGTTTGCGAGATTCCCGTAGACATTAACCTCAGACAACTAATGCATGTATGCCCGGTGTCTTCTGTATCCAAGATTTCTGAACTTATATACGTTGTCTTAGTAACTTGTAGCTGAATGGTGCTGTTCACATATCGGTACAGTTCAATTTGATATTACACAACAACTTTATGTTTAATGTGAGTTATTGTGTTGTTGTTTGTTTTAATTTGAATACATTTTAGAGAGCCCTCTCTTTAAATGATTGCACATCAACGTTTAAAATCAGACCTATGAATATAAAAATAACGTAAATTATGTAATCCAACAAGGCCTTCCATATACGTCACATTTATGCTAATTCGTATGCGCAGATGTGTACCAATTTAGAATGGCCTGACCTTGCCTTTCTTCTGCAGTACTAATTATAATATCCATTATTCATGGTTCTAGTATATGATATGCAAATTTGATTTCCAACGGACGAAACACATTTTGAATGGAAGGCTGATTAATATTCTAATTAACTATACAATTTGATTGTAATAGATTATTTACTATATACTTTTTATGAATTTGTGTTATTATAAATAATTTGACTTTCTATGATGTGAACATTAGTAAATACGCGAACAAACATTAGTATGAACGGATTTGTAGGTGAATCAAAACTCCACAAACTAACTCCCCCGTTCCATGCATGTGATTATGTATTTGTCAGTACCAGTGACAGACCCCTGACAATTGTTCTATTGAGTTACTACTGACCATTGTCCGAAACGCCTGGATACTTAACAAGAACTACGATTACTGACTAACACTTATTCTATTGTATTGAGTTACTAGTATATATAAAAATAAAGTATAACGTTTTTTTTAATTTCTCAAAAAGGGTTATATTTGCGTTGAGTTATGTAATATTTTATAATTACGTCACATCAATGCAAATTCTCTGGAACGGTACTCATATTGGAGCTGAACAATCCGCAAAAGATGAAGTGGAAATGACGTAAATTTTAATAACTGTAACATTTTGGACAACATATCATCGAAGTCGTAGATGATCTTCTGAGCGTATAATCAATCAGTAATGTGAAAGACGACAGAGATCTATATTTTTACCACAACAACACGGTTAAGCTAGAAGTCTAGTTAGCCTCCTCCTGATTAACAATATTCTGTTGCGTGTTAAAAGTATTTGCAGAAATTATCAATATTGTCACTAGGCATCAATGCGAGATGTGGGATAATTTCTCTGTAATAAGAATAATTGGCAATATTGACAAAAACCGCCATTCACTAAAATAATAATTGACCTCAAACAGTACAATTTATTTCAGAGTTGACAAATTACGGTATTTTCAGTTGTGAGTTTAATTATATCAGCTGTACTGGTGGGATCCACGTACACATACCGTGTCTGGTGGATAGGCGAGATATCGTGATATAGTCCAGTTTGTCACGTGGCGTTATCCATGATATCCAGGATCCCTTCTCTACCTTTGGGTTTTGAAACATTCAAAAGAATATCAGTTATAGTATTTATAATCATAAGTCTTCTGTTAAAATTCAGTTTACGATGTTATGGTGTGTCTATAACTTTCCTATCAATAATGAAAAATTGATGCCCTTTTTGAACTTAGGTGATTCAAACAACGTAACTTCGTTCGATGTTCCTTACGCAAATGAACTTGAAGTTGAACTTGGAGCCGGCACCAAACTCTGCTGCATGGACGAAGGTGACATATTTCATCAATGAAGGTACGGGGTTATCCAAGATTTGCTCCGCTATGAAATTGTCGACCACATTACAATACCGAATTTCACACCAGGGAGCCGATTATAGTCCCATTAATCCCAAGTCAAAGTGTACACGGGGTTTCCTAAAATATTGTGTTCCAAGTGAGTTATACAAAACTCTGGCGACCTGCATCCCCGTACACATATTGCCGATTACAGCCATTCCAATCGACCATTCCCCCAGGACTTTTAGATATGGCGTGAGGGGAGTTCGCATTTTTGCTACTATTCAATGGAAATAATATGATATTCTGACAGTATCAGTAACAAA